CCCCAGCCACATCCGGCCCAGCACCACCGGCTTGTCCAGGTCTGAGAGCTGAGAATGACTTTTATACTCTTAAATGGCTGGAAAATTAAAAAAGGAAAAATCCAATGGGAGCCAGCTGGTGGCTCCATCCCACATGGAATTCCGGGCCTGGTGGCTTGGAGGGTATGGCAGGCATGTGTGCATGCATGCGAGGATCCTGAGAACAGAACAACAGAACAGAGAAGGGACTGCAGCGACAAGTTGGGGGCAGGGGAGTTGCAAATGATCTGCAACTCAGATTTCAGCCTCCATGATAAGGTTTTATTGGAACACAACTGCAGAGCTGGACAGGTGCAGCAGCGAATGCAAAGTCTGAAATATTTGTCTGGCTAATGAAGACAGCATGTTGAGCCCTGGGCAATCCTAGCTTGATGCTGCTAAGTGTAAAGTGTCGTTGGCACAGCAGCCTGCTCGCCAAGCAGGTCCAAGAGGTCATTTGTCAACCCAGGTAGCTTCCGTCCAGGGAGAGGAGACCAGCGTGATGCCGTGAGAGGCCAGTCCAGTGAGCAGTGGCGCGCCCCACAGTGGGGCCTCCCACAGACGGGCCTTCCTGGTCTGCAGGTCAGCCTGAGTTAACCTTAGTGACCCTCTCTGAGTCAGACCTGCGTGGGCACTGTGTCAGCCAGGATATTTAGTTCCAGGTGACAGAAACCCAGTTTGGCCAGTCTATAGGAGGAGAGATGAGCTAAGAAGGCCCGGGTGTGTGTCTTAGGACCGTGCCTGGTGTGCACAGGACCTCGGAGACAGGCGGACTCCCCAGCCCGGCATGCTCCCCTTGCTGCCCACCTGCCTGCTCTCCCAGCACCCTCCATGCCCACTCCGCAGCCTCCCCCAGGCTGCACCTTACACTGTCAGGCCCTGGCGAGAGAAGGCCTGACCCAAGTCCGAACCCCCTGGAGGGAGCGTTCTGGATGGCATGTTTGGGTATCTGCTCCAGAAGTCCACTGCACCCACCATCCCCTGGACAACATGGCTTCCAGTAACCGGGGCTGGGGGAAGGGGACACCGGCCATAGAGAGATGGCAGTGCTAGGAGTGTCCATACGGTGTTTCTTGCCCCATGGCGGATTTTTAAATTTACTTATTTATTTATTATTTTTGAAGGTTTTTCCATAGGGCATGTGTGCTTGCTAGGGAGAGACAGTGAGTGGAAAAGTGAGAAATCATCCCTGGGAGGACGGCCATGTCACAATCCCTTCTCCTCTGGTCTCCTCTTGGGATTTTGGACATGCTCGCACACGCATCCAGAGTGATTTTCAAGCCACCGAGTCCAAGATTCGAACTGTGGTCGTTATGTGGGAGTCTAGCACCTTAACCGACATGCCACCTGCTGGCCCTTATGTGTATTTTTAAATATTTCATGAGAATGAAAGACAGACACCCTCAACAGGTTGTTTCACACCACAGTCCTATTCCCACTGTGCTCCAGCTAGTCAGGACCTTGGGTGCACGCACACCTGATGTGTTTCAGGTCGACACAGGATCCAAACCATGGCGGGCCATGGGGCTTCCAGCACTGCGATCAGTTCTGCTGCTTCCTTTTTGGTCCTCTGCTCAGGTCTTCTTCTGCCCTGAATGTCCTCACCAACCCCTCACCCCTTACCAGGCAAGCTCTTCTGGTTTATTTATTTATTATTTTAACTTTGCTATAGGGTGCATGTGCTCACCAGAGACGGAGAGAGGAAAAGTGAGAAATCATCCCCAAGGTGGGATGGCCACACCACAGTCCCTTCTCCCTCATTCTCCTCTCAGGATTTTGGGCATGTATACACACGAGCCTGGGATGTTTCCAGGCCTCCAGTTCTGGAATTCAAACAGTGAGGTCAGCCATGTGGGATCTAGTGCCTTAACTACCATTCCACCTGCTGGCCCCTGGTTATTTATTTAGTAGTACTAAAACTGTCATATTCTCCTCACTCCCCAGGAGAACTGGTGCCCAGTGGCCATGCAGAAAGCAGGATGCCCGCCTCGGCCCTTTGAGATCCATGAACAGACATTAGTTCATCAGAACAAAAAAGAGAGAGAAAGCCTTAGACTTTGTGTCTGTCTTTCATTCTCATGAAATATTTAAAAATACACCAGGTCTGGATTTCTCTGACAAAAGTAGTATCTTTCCATATTTTATATTTGTGGTCTAGTGGTTAAGGCAGCTGAATCCCACATGGCTGATTGTGCAGTTGGAGTCTTGGACCCTGCAGCTTGAAAAACACCCTGGGCATGTGTGCGTCCATGCCCTAAATCCAACAGAAGGGAACAGGAGGAGAAGGGGTTGCAGCAGAGCCATCCCCCATGGGAGCGTGGTGCTCTCTCACCTTCCCTCTCTCCCTCTCCTTCCTCTGTCTCTCTCTGAGGAGCCCAAGCACCCTCTGACACATTTCTTTTAAAAAAAGGAAAATATAATTTTAAAAAACTATCAAATAGTCTAACACATTTTTGGTATCTTTTCCGGTCTTTTTTCTTATAAATGTTAAATGTAGTTCTAACCATACTGTATTTATATATTGACCATCGACAGCACCAAAACACGCTGACTACCTCATCATCGATAGCGTCAAATACACCATTTCTCTCTTTTTAAAAACAATTATTTATTTAATTTTGTTTGTTATTATTGTTGTTTTAAATTTTGCTATAGGGCATAGGTGCTCACCACAGAGAGACAGAGAGAGAGGGGAAGTGGGAAAGCAAGCCACCAGGTCCGGGACTAGACTCACGGCTGGCCATGTGGGAGTCCAGCACCTTAACCACCACACCACCTGCTGGCCCCAATACACCACTTCTCAACTTTCCAGGAAAGGACTATTTTTTAAAAAAAGAACTATTTACTTAATTTTATTTATTCATATCTTTTTTTTTAATTTTGACTAGAGAGAGAGAGAAAGCAAGCCACCAGGTCTGGGACCTGAATAGTGATTGGCCGTGTGGGAGTCCAGCACCCCAACCACCACACCACCTGCTGGCCCCCCAGGGAAAGGACTATTAAAGGGTACTTAAAAAAAAAAAAAAAAAGAACAGAAAAGGCAGAAAGTCACTACTCTCGTGCAGCTATAAAGTGAACATGTGTTAAGGATTTTATTTACTTCATTATTGCTGAGGAACTCAGTGAGATGCTACAACCAGCTTAAAGGAGGAAGCAACCTTCCCGAGGGGTGAGCATTCCTCCATTCCTCGGGGAGTCTGGCCTCAGGTGATGCACCCAGAGGCCCCACCTGGCCCTTGATCCTCCAGTGACAGACAGACCCTTAGACCAGCCCAGCGATCACCCCAGTGGGTCAGCTCACTGCCTCCTTCACTTTATTTCTTCCCCTCCTTCTTCCTGCCCCCTTTCCTTATCTCCCCTCTTCTACCCCCCAGCCCACATCTCTCCTTTCTCCCCTCTCCTCCTTCTCTGTCCTGTTTATGACATGTTACCGTAAGTGAATTCTGAAAGTGCCTAACCCACGAAGTTTCAGATTAATGAGTAATTATAACAAGAACACCCGAGTCGCGGCACCCCAGGACGAAATAGAATATCGCTGCTCCCCACCTGTTGTGGGACGGCTTCTGCCGTCTCCAGGTTCTTGGAGTCTCAGACGAAGAATTGGACAAAACACACAAATAGTGTAAGGAAAAGGTAATTTACTGAGGAAAAGTAAACGTGCACTCCTGAGAGGCAGGAGTGGGCCTGGGCAGGCAGAGAGTGGCTCAGAGGCCC